ACATTCTCATAAAATTGCCTTCGCTGTCTCCACATTCTTTTCATCATGAAGTCCTATCAGACCGTAAGGCTGCTAACTCATTAGAGAGAGAGATGACTGGTGGTGGTTTCACCTAATGGTCACCGTGCGTCAGGTGAGGGAGTTAAGGGGCAAGTTTGAGAAGGTTGGACCTTTATAGTGACATCAGCTGGTGTAGACTTTTCGGCCTTTTGTCATATGGAGATACCGGAAACTCTTGATCCGGCTGTTACAACTGCTGTCTGGGCTATTAGGGATGGTCGATTAATGCTGGCCTGCATAATGATGCTCACATCTCATGACAATATAAAGAGGGAAAAAGAAACATCAATACCCACAACCCGAGCTACAAATCTACTCCAAAACATTAGATAAAAAGAAACATCGGAGTACAAAATCTAATGAGCCTGGTGTCGAATTACAGATGTTAAGTATATTGATAACAGAGGATTTGGATGTGCAAGGAATGAAAGGGTATGAGTATTGTGTGTGAATGTGGATTTGAGGTAGAGAACCAACTGTGATCCTGTTGAATAATGGAGCATTAGTCCCATGGCCCACTCCTGTTCTGATTTCTTACGTTCTTAAACTCTTGGGTCCCGTATGTTACTGAAAGGGCACGCCACTGTCAATGGTGCAAATTTCAGGTAAAATGTTATACCAAGGGCCCTTGTAAAGCTGCCATCGTTTACTTTCAGAGAACTAGCTAGCTGTCATTTCTAGGCTTTGGGCCAAAGATGAATCGCTGACTCTACAATAGCCTGGAAAAGCTCTTCATTTTGCTCGCTGACACAGACTGATTTTGCTCGTTTCACTGGTGTGACTAATAGCCATGTACTTTACAGCAGTGATCTGGTCTACTTGGTGTGGCATTGGAGGCCTGTTGGTCTTTTCAGGTTTACCACATACCTTCTGATTTGGAGACGCTGGAATTAGTAACGCAGAGATTGCAATTCGGATCCCAATCGTTGGCCACTTCTGAAACTAAATTAATACTGTTCCAACCGAAAAGAATGACTGGATGAACATGTGAAAATTGATCACAGGAAGGCACGGAGTTACCCTGCACTCAGGATGGCTGGATGTGATTATTCGGTCCTCACAATACACACTAAATAGGCGGACACGTACACACTCACATACAACCTCACCTACACACACAAAACTGCATATTCACCCAGATGCACACACACAAAACTGCAAACTCACGGTCACAAACTCAGAGTCATCGAAAAACACACACACATATTCACACACAATCACCCTCACACACACAGACACATATACACACACACATACATATACACACACACACACACACACACACACACATATATACACACATACACACTCTCACACACACATACACACTCGCTCACACACACACACACACGCACACACGCACACACCCAAAAAACCTGTCACCTTCCAAGAGTACCTTCCAAACCCACGACCTGGCATTTGGCCCATCATGTCTGCGTCAGTTCTGTGGTCAATCTCCTGCCTTTTCTTCATATCCCTTCTCACCACCTCTATCCAAATAACCATCCAATGCCTCCTCAAATGTCTGAGGATATCTGAATATCAAATATCTGAACCTCCTTCCACCAGATTTCCATGCAATGCGTTACATAGAACATAGAACATAGAACAGTACAGCACAGTATAGGCCCTTCAGCCTACGATGTTGTGCCGAACTTTTATCCTAAACCTAAGGTATATATAACCTCCACCCCTACCTTTTACTATCATCCATATGCCTATCTAATAGCCACTTAAATGCCCCTAATGAGGCCAACTCCACTACCCTCTCCGGCAATGCATTCCACACCCCTACCACTCTCTGAGTAAAGAACCTACCTCTGACGTCTCCCCTATATCTACCTGATGTTCCTTCTCAACATTCTCAAGTGACAGACTGGCTTTTCAAAGAGGTTGGACTATTTGAGGATTGGATGGTGCTACATCCTTCATTCTAATTATCACATTTTCCTCACATACAAATTAAATCGAATTCTCATTCACACTCTATCCTTATTGTAATGCACTCCCTATAATCCACCATCATTTACAGTCTCCATTATCATGTTTGAATGGCAACACTATACTCTCTTATTAACTCAATCATTAATTCATGTTGGACAGATTTGAACAGGAAATGGGGATAAATCAATGGGCTACACCCAGGAATATTCTTCCATTTATAGCAGGGTGGGGACTGCATGAGGATGTGATGAGATGTTGCAGAGATGCAATTTCTGTCAGGAACATGAGTAGCTCAAACCTGTTCCTCCAATTACTTGGACCATGGCTGATTTGCAACGCAAGTCCATTTGTCCTATTTGTTTGCTCTACCCTTAACCAACAAAAATTACCCCCATCTTCGGCCTGGAAAGTTTCACTTGATGCCCACATCCCTTAGCCTTCTTAGGGGAACAATGTTTCAGATTTCCATGTCATTTGACAAGGTCTGAAAAGGTTCCTGCTTTGTTCCTGAAGAAACTCTCTTCAATTTGAAGACTATGCCCCTTTACATTGAATTCCCTCACCAAAGCAAATGGTTTTGCTATATCAACCCTTTAATTAAATATCTCAATTAGATCAACATGAATTAATGATTGAGTTAATAAGAGAGTATAGTGTTGCCATTCAAACATGATAATGGAGACTGTAAATGGTGGTGGATTATAGGGAGTGCATTACAATAAGGATAGAGTGTGAATGAGAATTAGATTTAATTTGTATGTGAGGAAAATGTGATAATTAGAATGAAGGATAATACACAATGTTTAACAATGGTCCACATCTCAACCTTTGACAACCAGGAATAACTGGATATCTTCCTCTTCATTGTACTGCTGTAATGCAGAAGGAAGATGAATTGGATTGAAGATTTAACCATTGAGCTGACCAAAGAATATAGCAATCAAGAGCAGGAAGGCACAGTACAATCTTTCAAGTCTGTTCTGCCATTTAGGAAGATCATGGTTGTTCTTTGTCCTAAACTCCACGAGATCCTTATATCCTCTGATAACCTCAGAGACCCAAAGTTAAACATGAAAGGGATCAGAAAAGATTTATGAGGATGTTGCCAGGTTTGGAGGGTTTGAGCTGAAAGGAGAGGCTGAATAGGCTGGGGCTATTTTCCCTGGAGTGTCGGAGGTGACCTTAAAGGGGTTTATTATATCATCAGGGGCATGGATAGGGTGAATAGTCAAGGTCTTTTCCCCAGTGTAGGGAGTCCAAAACTAGAGGGGTAGTAGGAACTGCCGATGCTGGAGAATCTGAGATAACAAGGTGTAGAGCTGGATGAACACAGCAGGCCAAGCAGCATCAGAGGAGCAGGAAAGCTGATGTTTTGGGTCTGGACCCTTCTTCAGAAATGGGGGAGGGGAAGGGGACACTGGAATAAATAGAGAGAGGGGAGGAGGCGATGATGGAAAGAGGGCATAGGTTTAAGGTGAGAGGGGAAAGATTGAAAAGGGATCTGAGGGGCAACTTTTTCACGCAGAGGGTGGTGTGTGTATGGAATGAGCTGCCAGAGGAATTGGTGGAGGCTGGTACAATTACAACATTTAAAAGACATCTGGATGAGTACATGAATAGGACATGTTTAGAGGGGTATGGGCCAACTGCTGGCAAATGGGATTAGATTTATTTAGGATATCTGGTTGGCAGGGACGAGTTGGACCAAAGGGTCTGTTTCCGTGCTGTACATCTCTATGACTCTATGACTCTATAAGTCTATAAATCTCAGTCTTGAATACACTAAATGACTGAGCATGCACACTCCTCTGGGTTGGAGGGTTCTGAAGATTCACGGCTCTCTACCTCAAGGAGTTCCTCCCTGTCCCAGTGACTGTACGTACACCCCTGAGGGTTTGAGAAGGCAGCTCACTACCACCTTCTCAAGGGCAATTAGGAATGTGTAATATATGTTTGATATCCACGTGCCATAAACAAATAAATAAAGGAAGTACAATGTGGATGGATAGAAGTAAGATGAAACTGTAGTGAAGAAACATGGAGACTCAGAGCAAGAGTTGGCCATTGGCCTTTTGAGCCTGCTCCACAATTCAATAGATTATAGCTTATCCACCATCTCAAAGTCATATTTCTCCTTTCTCTCCATACCTCATGGTGCCTTTGAAATCTTAAAATTTATCCGTCTCTTTCTTGAATGTATTCAGCGACTTGACCTCCACAGCTTTTTCTGATAGAGAATACTCCAGACTGACCATCATCTGGGTGAAGAAATGCTTAGTTTATTTTGAGATTATGGTCGGCATGGACTGGTTGGACCGAAGGGTCTGTTTCTGTGTTGTATACTTCCATGACTGGTGGACCGACACGTTGTTGAAATTCGAGTGTTTTCAGTGTTGCCTTCATCCAGTTAGTGAGAAATGTGATCCACCACACTCCTGACTCTGACTACTAAAGCAGGTATGCAAATACAAAAAGGACCTTTTAAAGTTGAGTGAAAGATAATTATATGGATTTCTTCCCGCCCTTGCCTCATGTCAAATTTCCACAAAGGAAGAATTTCAATGGTGACAAAATTTGCCATATCACATCATATTGCTTTGGTGCCAAACCATTTGTTAGATCTGACACATACAGTATGCTAACGACCACTTATCCTGGATTCTTGCACCTTTTACAGGTAAACGTCTCCAGCCCTAATTTCTGAAGTTTCCAAGTTAGTTTAAACCTTGTGTGTCCAAATTGTTTAACCTCTCCAACCGCTGAACGGGACCTAAACCTTGTACAATCGTCCTTAAAACTTTCAGTCTCTCTACCTCTCCCCATACCTTAAAACCATACCTGAGCCTTTGGTCACTGTAGTGATCAGAGTGTATGTGATAACTTTTGTTTGGTAACACTCCTGACACCAAAGGTGCTATATAGGTGCAAGTTGTTATTCAAGTTTCATTCTGAAAATATTCCAACTTCACTCTCTCTCTTTCTCTCTCTCTGCACAGATTTGAGGCCCTGGGTGTTGAATTTTAGCTTTCCAGGAGTATACGACTATTCCCAGTTGGCAGTCGACCTCAACAGAAATCAGCTAGTCATTGGAGCCAGGTACTGTCCAACAATGTCTGTGGTGATTGCAGTGTTGGTATAAGCTTTCTTCTAAGTTCCTGTGATATGCTCCGATCTGGCTTTTCTTTTTATGACAACAGTTTCATTGTCACCATAACAAACCAAACACAATTCCATATTTATTAAACGGATGGTGTGTGAATTCTCCAGTTGCCATAGTGACACAATGGACTCACAACTCCAAATCTTCCCACACCTGCTGAGGTTACCATGAAGGACTCCCTTTCTCAGCCTCTCCCCTTCCCTGAGGTGTGGTGACCCTGTGGTTAAACTCAGCACCGGTCATAGTCATAGAGCCATAGAGATCTACAGCATGGAAACAGGCCCTTCGGCCCAGCTTGCTCATGCTGCCTAGTTTTCACAATTTAGACTAGTTCCATTTGCCTGTGTTTAGTCAATATCCCATCCATGTACCTGTCTGAGTGTTTCTTAAATTATGAAGTTGTACTCACTTCTACCATTACCTCTGGCAGCCCATTCCAGACACTTACCACCCTCTGTGCGAAAAAATTGCCCCTCTGGACCCTTTTGTATTTCTCCCTTCTCCCTGTAGGAATATGGCAATATTACCTTTACCTTTAGTCCTATGTCTATATTATTAGTCCAGTACCATTGGCACTATGACACTATTTCCCATAGACTTCATCTTTACCATGCTCCTGCAGCTCCTGGTTTTCTCTCCTAATCTTTTGCAAACCTCAAGTGTCCTGAAATGTATGCTTGCCCCTTCCTACGTCTTTTTAACTTTTTACTTTTTCACTTAAAGTCGCTCTCTCACATCAGTAGCGTTCATAGTTGTGAGATTATGTCAAGAATAAGAGGTGATTTTATTTGAGTATATAGGATCCCGGGGGACTTGATATGGTGTTTGTCAAAGGGATGTTTCCCCATGTGGGAGAGCCTGAATATCAGAAATGCAGTTTAAAGATAAAGGATCTCCTATTAAAGATGGAGGTGAGGAGAAATTCTTTCTCTCAGAGGGTTCACAAGACTGTAAGACATAGGAAAAGGCCATTTAGCTCACTGAGTCTGCTCTGCCGTTCAATGAGAACATGGCTGATTTGCTAATCCTCACCTCCACTTTCCTGCCTTTACCCCAGAACCCTTGATTCCTTTTCTGATTAAAAATCTATCTCAGCCTTGAATATACTTGATGACTCAGCCTCTACAACTCTCTGTGGTAAAGAATTCCACAGATTCACTACCCTCTGAGAAAAGGAATTCCTCCCCATTTCTGTCTTAAATAGACAATCCCTTATTCTGAGATTGTGCCCACTGGTCCAAGACTCTTCCACAAGGCGAAACAACCTTTCTGTGTTCACACTGTCAATTCTGGTCTTGAGTCTTTGGAGCAGCCTTACCTAGAAAGCGGGCACAGCTATTTTTAGGGTAGAGGTGGATAAGAAGGTAGCTCACCATCTCAAGGCCAACTGGTGATGGGTAATAAATGTGGGCCCAACCAGCAAAGTCCACATCCCATGGATAAATTATAAAAAAAATTGATTGACAGGGCAGACAAATGTTGTCACAAGTAAGTAGGGAAGTATAGTTGAGGTCATAATCAGATCAACCATGATCATGTTGAACAGCAGAGCAGGCTAGGGGGACTGAGTGGCCTCCTTCTGCTCTTAATTTGTAATTCCATATGTCAGCTCAGTTGTCTAACTCGTGCTATCTAAGGAATGGTTGACTCCACATTGGCTTAAAAAATAGCATAACTTTACAGTGAAGCCTTTCGGAGTACAATCACCTCATTGGATCGACTTAGACAGGGAAGGTTTTGCACACAATATTGAGCACAGAAAGAGGCCAGTGACTCCCACTCTGACCTCTCAAACCTTGACCTGTGGTCCAATGAAGTTCAATGCTATCTTAATGAAAAAAAAAATTTATTTTTTGACTTGGAGAAATGAAAACCTCTGGGGTCCAACTATGATTTCCTCAATTTTGAATCATAACCTGTACCCCGGTTTGGCTTCACGTTTTTTTATGGCTGCTTTGCATTCATTTCTTTATGCCATTTCTTTGCTCCTGCCACCATGTAGCCATTCAAACCTCATCTGGGCACATCTTTTGTTCTTTTACGTTACCCATGACCACTCCCTTTGGCTGTTGTAACGCGGAACCATGCAATTTAATCCCTCCGGTCCTGCACCTTATCCTCCACCTTTTCATTTTCCTCTCTAATAAATCTTTCCACTTGTTCGAAAACTCTGACATTTCTATCCTTCCTCAGTTCTGATGTCGGGTCATTGATCTGAAACGTTGCCTCTGTTCCTCTGTCCAAAGATGTTGCCTGACCTGTTGAGTCTTTCTAGCATTTACTGCTTTTGGTTTCGGTCTTTGTTGGTGTTTATGTTCCTCAGATGCTTCCTATCATTTCTCTTCAATTAACGCTGCCAACTTCTGCTTTTAATGTAGTCAGCTTTCCCTTAATTACATCTGTACTACTCACCTCAACTAATCGGGCAGCATGGTGGCTCAGTACTGAGTGTTGCGATCTCGTGGGGCCAAAGTTCGATTCCACCCTCAGGCAACTGTCTGTGTGGAGTTTGTACATTCTCCCCGTGTCTGCGTGGGTTTCCTCCCACAGTTCAAAGATGTGCAGTTGAGGTGGATTGGCCATACCATACGATGATAGTATAAGGTAGGGGTGGAGGTTAGATAGACTTTAGGTTTAGTGTATAAGATCGGCACAACATCGTGGGCCGAAGGGCCTGTACTGTTCTATGTTCTATATTGCCCATAGTTTGCAGGCTAGGTGGATTAGCCATGGGAAATGCAGAGTTACAGGTTAGGGGGGATGGATAGGCATGGGATGGTCTTTGAAGGATTGGTGTGGACTGAATGGCCTGATTCCACACCGTGGGGATTCTATGGCTGTCAGTTTTACATTCTAACCACACTCTGGGTGAAGAATTTTCCCCTCAATTTCTGATTAGATTTATTACTGACTGTTTTAGTTATAGTGGTAAATTGTGGACTCTCCACAAATGGAAATCTTTATATCTAACCATTTCGTACGGAGCTCCATGAAGAGAGATTGGATAGACTGGGGTTGTTTTCCTTAGAGCAGAGGAGGTTGAGGGGGTCATGATTGAGATGTATAAGCTTACGCTGGGCATAGATAACATAGATAGGAAGAAATGTTTCCCCTTGACGGAGCGATCATTGATCAGGATCAAGGAGTGGAGGGTTTACCACCACCTCCAAGTTTCCATCCAAACTACTCACCATTCTGACTTGGAAACATATCGCCGTTCCTTCACTGTCACTGGGTCCTGGTATTCCCCCCCCCAACCCATGGACATTGTGGGTCAACCTACAACAACTAGACTACAGCGTTTCAAGACGGCAGCTCACCACCACCCTCGCCACTAGGCAAAAGGGAGGGATTTGATATGTTTCTTATTTGTTAAGAGCCCTCTTTACAATACGATGACATCTTTGTACTTTTGCCAGTTGCACGTGAATCTAGTCATTAAACTGACTATCAATCAGATGGTGTCTCTAGGTTTCAGATTGTGTTTTTCTACAAATGTTGAAATTCTTGAGAAGTTCTTTTTATCAGCTAGCCTAGTTTACCTTGAGTAGCTTTAATATGTCTGTCTCTATTTTCTGACAAGCTAGTTTAATCTCTGATTTTCTTTATCTCCTTTTATCCTTCTCAAACTGCTTTTCTCTTTTCATTTTCAGCTTTTTCAGTTCTGATGTCTTTTGTTCCTCTTGTTTACTGTGGATTGTCATCTCGTCCTTCACTTGCCTTCTTTTCAGTTTTGCTCCCCTTATCTTTCTGCTGCTTTTCTATGCTTTTACTCGCCGCGCTTTCTTTCTTTTTACATGCTCTTACTTTTACACGTTAACTTCTGTTCAACCCCCTACCACTGGTTCTTTGTCTCTCACTAATTGCACTCTCTTTCTTTCACCCTTTTGCTTTCTTGCTATTTTCTTATGTTTTTGTTTGTCTCCCTATTCTATTCCCTTCTCTGTCTCTCTCTCTCTCTTTGCCATCAGCAGATCTGTTTTACTCAATCTCTGCCAAATTTTCTTCTGTGCAATATGCTCTTCGGAATTTGCATTCAATCATCTTTTTGCATGCTTTCACATTTGCCCAGAAGTACAAACCAGGGTTACCCATATTGGTTGTGGAATTTCTCTGGTTGAATTCGTGGAAACTTGTAAGAACAGATAATCAATCTGATTTGTTTGGCTTTTTAATATCAACATGTTTATATCTGTGTCTGTCCTTTTACAGAAACTACCTCTTTCGCCTCACTCTGGATAACATCTCTCTTATACAGGTAAGATCTTCTGAAAGAATTGCGGACGCTCTAAGCAGAGACAAATACAGAAATTGCTGGAAAAGCTCAGCAGGTCGGGCAGCATCTGTGGAAAGAAGCCAGAGTTAGCATTTCAAAACACTAAGTCTGATTTCTCTCTACAGATGCAGCCAGACCTGCTGAGCTTTTCCAGCAATATCTACTTTTGTCCAAGATCTTCTGAAGTACTGGCCTCAATTACAGCACCAGCCCCGTAACACAAAATATGGCAGTTACTTCTTGTAAATTACTTGAACAAATCAGTAAATCACTTCCACCTTTATTCGAAAGAGACCCTGTATGAAATAAAACCAGAAAATGAGTGAAACACTCAGTAGGTCTGGCAGGATCTGTGGAGAGAAACAGAGTTAATGTTTCAGGTCAATGATCTTTCATTTGAACCAGACAAAGAACAGAGGTGGATTTTTTGACCCAGCTGGTCTGAACCAAATTTTATGTCCCATACAAGACTTGTCCTTCTCCTGGATCAACACATCTTTCCATTTCTTTCACCATCACATGCTTACGTGTTTCCCCCGGTAGCATAATGGTAAGCCACCTCACTAGTAGTCCACAAGCCCAGGATAATTGGGAGCATAGATTCAAGTTCCAACACCAAAGCAACCTGCAGAATTTGAATTTGTATAATAAATCTGGAGCCCATCTGGTTAAATAATTGCTGTCTATCTGTTCTGCTGCCCTTACCCCGCCTGTCCTACGTGTAACTCCAGACCCACAGCAAAGCACATGACTCTTAACTACTCTCTGAAATAGCTGAACAAGCCACTAAGAAAAAAGGCAGTTAGGGGTATGTGAAATGTTGACCTTTCTGGTGATGCCCATATCCCATGAAAGAATAAACTAAAAAATACTGCTTGGCCTGCTGTGTTCATCCAGTTCTACACCTTGTTATCTCAGATTCTCCAGCATGTGCAGTTCCTACTATCCCTGTGTAAATAGACTTCTTCTTAATTCAATTATGGGTTCGTTAGTGGATCATTTTAATTATTTTGACCTCTAAATTTAGGGAAGTCTCTGGGACTGGAACATCTACTCTGCTGATACCATTCCTAATTTTTGTAACTTCTTTTGGGTAACCCCTTAGCTTGGAAGAACCTTTCCAAACTTTCCTGGTGCCATTTTTGCAAATATATTTTGCAACTTCTCCAGAATTCCTGAGTAAGGGAACAGTGCAAGGGGAAGTTAGTTGAATGTTAAGTGTTTGTGAGCGAATGGTACAGAGCTAAGCTGGTCAGTGATTGATTGCTCCTTCAGGTTGCAGGTCTAATGCCTTTGTCTATCTCATTTTTCCACTGCAATTGCTAAGATTCAGTTTACCTCTCGGCTGTAAGCCAGACCTTTTAATTTTATTAATAAGGTTTTAGTTGAACTGGTGGGAAGAATCACTGTGCGAATGATGAATGATATTGTTCCAACAATTTTTTCTGAAGGGAAGAAAAGCGAAAAATGTATAGTCTAGAGCTTGGAAACCACATCTGGCTCACAAAATCAGGAACAAAAACAAAGTTGCTGGAAAAGCTCAGCACGTCTGGCAGCATCTGTGAAGGAAGAAAACAGAATTAATGTTTCGGGTCCGGTGACCCTTCCTCACAAAATCAGGAGGAGGCTTTAAGTGTCAAGATCATTGGCTATCCCAGCATGCACTTGTTTTAGAGCCGCCGGTTCTTATAGGACATACTTGTTGAGGTTTTGTGATGTCATTTGTGTTGTGATGTCATTGCGTTGTGATGTCATTGCCAGCCTCTGACTTGTTCGTGCAGGTTTTTGACCAAAGTCCAGAGGGTTGGGGGTTTGGTTAGCTCAGTTAGCTGGATAGCTGGTTTGTAATGCAGTGACTTCAGCAGCACAGATACAATTCCTACACCAGCCGAGGTTACCATGTACCTTCTCAACCCCTCCCTTTGCCTGTGGTGTGGTGACCCTCAGGGGGGCACGGTGGCTCAGTGGTTAGCATTGCTGCCGCACAGCGCCAGAGACCCAGGTTTGGTTCCACCCTCGGGCGACTGTCTGTGTGCAGTTTACACTTTCTTCCTGTGTATGCATGGGTTTCCTCCAGTGCTCCAGTTTCCTCCCGCAGTCTAAAAGATGTGCACATTAGGTGGTTTGGCCATGTTAAGTTGCCCCGTAGTGTCCAGGGATGTGAAGGCTCGGTGGATTAGCCATTGGAAGTGCAGTGTTGCAGGGATTGGGTAGGAGGGTAGGACTGGGTGGGATGCTGTTTGGGGGGTCAGTATGGACTGAATGGCCTGCTTCCACACTGTAGGGATTCAGTGTTTACACCAGCACTGGTCCTCCCTCTTTCTGATGAGAGAATGGTCCTCTACAACAAAGGCAACTTTACCTTTACCCAAACCCACTGCACACACTACCCATACCTTGACAAAAGTCCAGAACCAGGGCCACTGTTTAAAAATTAATGGTCATCTTTTCAAGACTGAGATGAAGAGAATTCTTTTCTCTTAGAGGGTGGTGGAACTGTAGAACGCTCTGCCTTAGAAAGCCATGGAGATAGAATCATTGGATATTTTCAAGACAGAAGTAGATGCATTCTTGTTAGGCAGGTGACTCAAGGATAATCGGGATAGATAGGAATTCAAAACTCAAAACGATCATCCAGGATTTTATTGAATACTGGAGCAGGCTAGAGGGGCTGAATGGCCTACTGTTGCCCCTATTTCACAAGTTCCTATGTTTGTGTTTACTTTCAACATTTTCATAAGTAATAAATAAAAAGTTGTTGAAGGAAAATTTGGAAGGCCTGTAGTTTCTCACATGGGATTTTCACTCAGCAGCATCTGCTAATGTGCTATACTGTTTCCGCTGTTTCCGATGCGGCCTCCTCTACATTGGGGAAACCAAGCGGAGGCTTGTGGACCGCTTTGCGGAACACCTACGCTCGGTTCGCACCAAACAACTCCACTTCCCAGTCGCGAACTATTTCAACTCCCCCTCCTACTCCTTAGACGACATGTCCATCCTGGGCCTCCTGCAGTGCCACAACGATGCCACCCGAAGGTTGCAGGAACAGCACCTCATATTCCGCTTGGGAACCCTGCAGCCCAGGGCTTCACAAGCTTCAAATTCTCCCCTCCCCCGACCACATCCCAAAACCAGCCCAGCTCATCCCCGCCTCCCTAACCTGTCCTTCCTCCCACTTATCCCCTCCTCCCACCTCAAGTCCCACCCCCATCTCCTACCTACTAGCCTCATCCCGCCACCTTGACCTGTCCGTACTCCCTGGACTGACCTATCTCCTCCCTACCTCCCCACCTACACTCACCTTTACTGGCTCCATCCCCGCCTCTTTGACTGTCTGTCTCCTCTCCACCTATCTTCTATCCGCTTCCACCTCTCTCCCTATTTATTTCAGAATCCCCTTCCCCTCCCCCATTTCTGAAGAACGGTCTAGACCTGAAACGTCAGCCTTCCTGCTCCACTGATGCTGCTTGGCCTGCTGTGTTCATCCAGCTCTACACCTTGTTATCTGGGAGATTGAAGTTGTTTTTATTCATTTGTGGGATGTGGGTGTCGTTGGCTGGGATTTGGATTCGGATTGGTCCAGTATCTGACGAGTCGTGAATGGTGCTAAACGATGTGCAATCATCAGCGAGTATCCCCTTGATCTTATTTGAATGGTGGAGTCGGCTCAAAGGGCATACTCCCCCTGTTCGACATTGTGTGTCAGCCCGGGAGAGAATCCCATATCTCCACAGTTGGTTGCACGTACAATTGCTCCCTTATTACCCTCCTAAGTGGCCCAGCTTTACTTGTTACCTCCAGTCCCACTTCATAACGGAGAAGAAAGAGTCTCTCTGTAAACTGGGGGGAGATGGAGGAAAGACCAGAGAAACATGGTATCTTCAGTGAAATCAAAGAGTCTGCAGCAGTGTCTCCCTGTACTTTCAAAATAAGTGAAAGCAGGAAGTAGCCAAACACCAAATGGCTGCCTGTCATTTACAAGGTAGTAACTCAATTGAGTGTTTCAAGTGACTGTATATGAAACTACCTGGGCTTTGATCTCTCTGTTGATGCAATTCAGGAATAACTCAGGATTCAATTACTACCTTTGACCCATGCCAAATCTCCTCAAAGCACTGTTCGCTGTTTCTCTCGGTGAATGGTTCAGAACCAATTATAATTGGATGAAGGAGCAATAAACTAATTGTGAGCCAGGAGTGGAGAGTACAGCACATCCTGCAGCCAGAATTCCATTGCTTTTTTGATTTAACCCCTCCTGCCCAGATGTTTTAGGTGTTAGGTGCACTCAATTAACAGCACACCAGCCTCTGAGCCAATAAGTTGTGTGTTCAAACCACAATCACATCTGGGCCGATTGAGTGCGCGTCAGGAATAAAGGGACCACAAGCTATAAATACGACAATCACTAAGGGTTAGCAAGGCCATAAATAAACAAACTAAGCAGTGGGCTTTATTTCCATTGGGACAGGTTTAAAAAGTAGCAGATTTATGCCAAACCTGGGTAGAACATTAGTTGGACTGCACTTTGCTTATTACATGCAGTTCCGGTATCTATATGATGAATAGGATATAGAGGCACCAGAGAGGGTGCAGAGTGGATTTACAAGGATGCTAACTGCAATGTGTGGATGTAAATATCAGATGTTATAGACAGACAGCAGGTGAGGCTTCCCAATTTGTCACATTCCAAACTGTTACCCTTCGGGCTAAGGAAGGATGAACTTACTCCCATTCTTTGTTCAGCCATCCCTCGGTTAGTTTCAACAAGTTTAATTCAGAAAATGATCCCTTATCTTTCTCTTGGACCCAAGTGTACTCATGTTTTCAAAGGAGCCAGTTTAATGAGGTTTTCTTGAATTAGCAAAAACAGTGAGTTTAGTCATTACTAAACAGGGGTAGAATTCACAACACAAGACATATGCACAGAAATTACAAATGAGTCCAAAAGAGTAAAAGTTAAAAAGATACAGATACATAGATGA